ACCCCACGGGAGTTTTAAAGAAGCGTTTTACTTCCCTGCCTCTGACCCCCCGGTGTCGGCTTTCTCTGGGCAACTGCCATCACTAGCTTTTTATTTTATTTTCTAGCGGCTTTGCATTGGCGAGTAATGGTATTTCTGGCACAACAGTATCGTTGTGCTCGATGGCTACCAGCTGTGTCATCGTTATGCAAGATAACTGATAGTACACTGCAAAGTGACATATTCCCTTGTGATTTGCACACCGTTGTTGTTGTCCAGTCCTGGATTTGGATTACTAGCAGGAGCACCTTCTGCATAAAGAGGTTTTCAGCTCAGCATTTGTCAGTGAAACAGCAGGAGTTCTCAGCAAGTTGACGATAGCATGCCTCATTCTTTCCTGCCACAGCCACAGGCAGGTTTCACATGTCAGCACAAGGCTGAAATTGACACGGAGGTTATTCCTGAGGGCAGTCCTTTGTTAACAATTTCCTACTGTAATTGCCTGTTTTGGTTTCCTAATCAGTTTTTAAACTGTTTGTTCGTAACCATATTATATTAAAACATTGTGTGAAGACCGAGACAGAAATCATAAATTTTTTGAAGTACCAGATGCTCTTTTATGAGGGCTTGGGTTTTCTCATTTGAGCAATTTCATTGATATGCAATATAAATAAAGTTAGATGCAATAACTGCAGTATTTTGATGTAAATTTGTCTCTGTTCTGAGCCAGAAGCCTTGAACTTCTGCCTGATTTACCTGTTTTCCAGTTAGAAGAGTAATGTCTGTTTATTTGGCTCCAGGTTGAAATGCTTTCTCAATGCCCTTTCCCCCAAACCACACACCCCCCCCCCCCCCCCCCCCGCCTTTTTTTTTTTTTTTCCACACTGTTGCTCAGTACTGGAACTGCACCGTCCTGGAACCAATTTGGAAGTCACATGCAGAAATACCATCCTACAGTTCTCTTCTACTGTGTCCACACTGTCCAGAGCTAGAAAATTACCTCCATAAGAGGATTAGGTTGGAAGAAAAGAAATATAGCAAGGAGATATATCAAGGTGATTAGGGAAAAAAAAAAAAGTGACATAAAAAAGTAGAGTAACAAACCAGTAGTTTCTGTTACTTTATTGTATTCATAGTCTGTTCTGAGCCCTTGGCCAGCCCTGGGCCCAGATGTCCTCCCAGTAACTTTGAGAATTGCTTCTTCCAGCTAGTCCCCTTGCTATAATGTGGGCTGTTTCTGTTCCCCTGACCGATCATTTTTACATCTTAGAAGCGCAACACAGATCTCTGCCATCTGCATGTAGTGACAGAAATTGCTGGGTGTGATGTGAGCCGGCAGGAGCAGAGGGCACTCCGACATCTCCTTGTGTGAGCAGCAGAGGCATCCGCCCTTACGCTTGGGGCCAGGTTCTAACAGAAAGCGAGATTCCCTTCCCTCCAAAACCGGTGCGGTCGTACCTACTGACAATGAACTCCTGCTGGTTCTGTGAAGTTTTGCAATGCATTTGCATGACTCATAGATACACACAGCAAAATGCCAGCAGATTTCATGGGGCCTTAGGGTTTTTGGTCGCACACACTAGAGTCTGAGGGCAACTTGGCACAGAAAAAATAAGTGTATTCATAAAAAAATTGTTTAGCGGGAAGAAAGGCTAAAAATGTTGTAAGCTACCAAATAACAAAAATGAAAACTTAATCTTAGGGAAGAAGGAGGGAAAAATGAAGTGTGGTTGCAAAGTTCATACTGTGTATTGTTTAAAATTTATTCTTGAGTATGGCAATATGACACTTAAGAGAAGTGCGTACCTACATGCTTACAATTTCCCAAAAACTGCATCTTCCATGTAGAAGAAATGCTCTATAGTTTTATGTGTTTTGTAGAAGTCACTACTGTAACAGTTTTATTTGACTTCATTTGTGCAGGTTTAATCTGTACCTTTTATAGACCCAGTGCAGACAGGGCCTCCTGCCTGTCCCATTTGCCTGTTCTGCTCAAGTCAATATTAGTGATGGACAGCATGTTGATATTGTTCTAGTTTCACAATTCTAAATGTTCAACATATCAAAGCAATGGAATAGCATACAGGGCTGGAGGTGTCTAGGTTTGCCCTGCACCATGCTCCTGACGGGCTGGGCAGATACACCCAGGCAGCATAGTGCTCACGTAGCCAAGTGGATCTATGGGAGCTAGCCCAGTTCTGGACAAGATTAAATCAGGCAAAGGAGACGCAAATATGGAGAATTTTACAGAAATTTGTTTCTTGCAATTGTGGTACATAAAATAAAGGCTTTATTACCCACTTACTCTTTCATATAATCAACCAGTGGAAGATGGGGGCAGAGTTCCTACCATTTACCTGATGTCTTCTGTCTTGTGTTTATGTACAACAACAGCTTATCACTTCAGTTATTTAAAAACAGACCTGAACATTTAACCAACATAGCATTTAGTTAAAAATTGTTGAAATGTTAACTAGTATGTGGAGATAATACACGCGTCTCCTGTATTTGAACGTGACTTTGTATGTGTGTTTGAGTGCTTTTATATTTTGTTATTTTGCATTGGAGTTAGAAGCACATTATGCTAGTTAAGACATGCTATTTTTTTTGCCTGCATCTTTTATCTCATTCTCCTTTCTTATTATGCAGTATCAACCAATGGTGTCCCTGTTTCATGTTTTGCTCATTTTAAACATTTTAGCTCATATTTTAGTAACAAAGCCCATGTCATTCATCTATATTTGATCAAAGGCTTTTTTTTTTCTTAGCTTGTACCAAGCTAATTGAATTAGAAAAATGGAAGGGCAAGCTTTTAGTTGTCTCTGTACTGCTGTACTCATACAAGTCTATGGATTTAATTAACAGCCCTTTTGATTTCTTTTTATTGCTAAACATCAGACATCTGTGGTGCTTCAGTTTGTGATGTATCTTTTCTTGTTTGGTGCAGATTAGCTAACAATGGCATCCACACTGGATCTTAAAGAGGCCACTGTTAACCGAAGTTCGTGGGATGCTTTGCTACCAGATTTCCCTAAAGGACCGCTTTGCAAGTATCGTAAAAAAGCTTCCTTTAATTGGAAGGAGATGGCAGTATTACTAGATGGCGAAGATATCATCCAGCTTAAGGTAAACTTTGCAAGAATTGTAAGCATGTTTTAGTGTTGAAGATATCTTATCAGTAGAAGCAAGTATGTGATTTTCAAAGGGAGAGTATTTACTTAATAATACTCTCTAGATAAGGAGCAAGAAGAAATTGGTTTTTCACATCCAATTTTCAGAACAGAACATTTAAGCAACCTACTTTGCTGTCTTATAAGGCCCATTTCATTACTGAACATCAGCACAGGAGAGACCAGCAGGTGCTACATTGCAGAACTTCAGTGTTCACTTCAAACTGAGAAAGAACTATATTCTCCTGTATTTCTTTATTGTACTGTTTGCATTAAATCGTATATCCCATGGTTTTACAATGCACTTAAGCTAAGTTCATGCCACTGTCAAACATAGTATTTCTGTCTTCATTTGACTGACATAGTTTCCTACGACCTTCTGTGCTTTCATTAATGCTAATGTGGCGTTGCAGTTGGATGGATTAGCATACCTACCTCACTGAAAGCTAACAACCCTACCAAAAAAAAGAGATTAATTGCAGCACAAGAGATGATGTGGGATTGCATGACTTGGAGATGTAGGAGGAGACAGAACTGACTTATTTGGAGGTGGTATAGATTTACATGGGTTTAAGCTCATCTTGACCATTCATCATAATTACTAAAATCTTAGAAGGTGGATTGGAGAAATCAAAAATGCTTTGTTCTGCATCTGACTGATACACTTAAGAGCATAGGAAGAAACACAAGCGCTTTATGTCTGGGGGAGTTTCAAAGCTGTGTGGGCAAATAGGGCTGTTCAGAGAAAGGGAATGACTCTACCTTTCAAAGAAAAGCACATGGAATCTGGTTTTCTTCCTTCCTACTGTGTCATTCTCTTCAGAGAAGAGAAAAGGACTTTAAAAACCTTTTTAAAAGATTTTTGCCTAAGGCACTGCACTTTTTTTTCTGAATTATGTGAAAGGCACTTAAGATGTGGATATCATGAAGACACAGAGATCTGAGGTAAAAAAAAAAGCCATCGTGTATCATCTAATTTAAAAAAAAAAGATCCAAATTAAAACATTAAAAGATGCACATTGCCATATTGAATGGCTGCATATTATGGTTCCATTAGCTGGAGTACGTTTCTGCTTTCATTTGGGAACAGAGCAGTTTTGGTAGCTTAATGGCTTTGCCATTATGGCATATTTCTAACTGTGTGTAACCCCTGGAGTTTTTACCTTTTTTCTCATATTGAGTGGCATTGCCTTTTAGATCCTGCCAGCAGCTTCATAGAGTGAAATAATGAAGCTGCTATAAAAAGCAAGTAAGTTTTACCATACTGTTCTCTTACATTCAGAGTGAATCAGTCCCACACTTATGACTTCATGACAAAGGAGCTTTCTTAAAATCTAGCTGCATTAACTGTGTATATCATGACAGAATGTTTAAATATATTTTTTAATTCTCTGGAGTTTTGGCTTTATAAATTTACATCTTCTATCAAACGACTATAGTTTGAGGCCTAGCATTATCCTAGAAAACATGTTTGGTTAATGCTTTAGATTAACATTCTTATGTCAGTTTTTTCCCCCTCAAGAACAGAATCTTCTCTGCCCTGGAAAGTGATCCTCTCTTTGCACATCATCCTGGAGAAGATTTGTGCCGTGAGAAGTATCAGGAGCTGACATTCCTGCGCTGTAAAAGGCTCTTTGAGTATAATTTTGTTACTGAGCAAGAGATCGTAGAGAACCCATTAAAGATACTTAATATGGTCATCTGTATAGGGATGTATGATTGGTCTCCATGTCTCCAGTATTTCTTACATTGCGGTGTAAGTACAGTCCAAAAAATATAGTGGTGTATATTTGAATTTAAGTGTCTCGTAATACCATAATTCTGTTGCTTTCTGCCTATTTTATTAAAGCTGTGTCTTTTACCAGTCCTTTGTTTTCAAAAATGAAATTCATTTTAACTGTGTAGAAGAATCAGAGAGCTGTGGGATGAAGTTAGTAGATACTTGTCATTAAGCCATGTCTCAACTGGAATCGCACCTGGAAAGTAAAGGTGGAGCAGTATAGACAGAGCTACAGAAAGATATTCTGATGCCTAAGTTCCACCTTCTTTTGTCCATTCCTCTGCCTCCTCTCTATGGCATTAGCAGCCAAAGAACTTTTGGACCCTGTTTGGTGGCTATGTCTTTGCTACAAATACAAGTATACAACTTCCTTGCTTCACCCCTGCTGTGTTGTCTAAGGGCAGAATCCAGAAGAAACGGAAATCCCTGTAAGGCTTCTCACTGACTTCAGTGACTGGGATTCTGTTCATCAGTTGCTCCCTAGATGAGTCTCTTGGAAAGAATATTTGACATGGCTGGTCAAATAATATTAGTTGAATTAATTAATTACTACTGTTCACATGGTGGGGGGAGTGTCTGGGAATTATGGTTTTGTTATGTGAATATCCATCTAGAAAAACTGAAGGCAGCTTTAAAAACAGTGTTCTTTTCTGGTCTTGAAGCAGCTACCTTCAGCTGTCAATCATTTGCAATAAAACAAACTAGAAGAGTCTTAAAGTTTTACTTTACTCAAGGGGACATCAGTAAGGACAAGTGAAAAGTGAGCTTATTAAGCATTTTTAAGAGTTTTCAATGAAGGCTTGAACAGGTTAGAGCTGTGAAAAATTTAGTCCTCAGTAAAGGGGCCTTGACAAGATCAAATCCTGACTTAATCTCCTTCAGCTATTGTCTAAGTAGTAGTTTACTGTGCAGCCTACTTCTCTTGGTCTCTTTAATGGATATCACTATTACGAATTATTGTGCATGTGCAATTTGTGCTTTCCATCGTGGGGTGACTGATGTAGTTCATAATTCTCTTGTTTTTACAGGTATTTGCAGGTGCAGTTTTGAGTGCTTCTAAGAGGTTTGCAGACCTTGTGAAACAAGTTTATAGCATGGAGGTAATTTTTTTTTTTTATAACTTGCGAGAACGGGGCATCATCAGAACCATGGCAGCACCTGAACCTTTGTGTTATTTTTGGTCTCTTTACATACCTAGGTACTTCTAAAATAGTAGAGGAAAAGATGAAGGAGCAGATTGAAGCACTAAGCCCTGACAATCCTCACTGCTAGCTGTTACGCCACTTGCTGGGTCTGTTTTAGACTGCCCAAGTTAACATGCAGACAAAGTTTGGGGACTTCTCCCAAGAGGCAATATAGATGACACTACACCAGTTTAGTCTGCATCCACAGTCCTTTAAGAGTATCCCAGCAAGATTTGCACGCTCAGACACTCCTACATCCCACATCTACATCACACACTGTGCAACACATACCTTTGCCGTGATGCTATAAAATGGAAAATAGTAATGTCTTAATGCCACAGGAACACCACATGGAGTGCAGTGGAGACTCAGGACCAAGTACTCTGCAGAATATGTGCAGCCTATCTGATATAGAAGGAGACAATCCTAAATGGTTTCTCCTCTATATGCCATTTGGCCATGTGGGCAGCATTCACTGTCTGGCCTGACGCTCTTTGATTTTGCAAGATATGTACGCTGAGCAGACCCAAACTGAGCTTCGTGCTTCTTTTGCTATTCTTTATCACTTCTTATCTTTTTTTTTTTTCCAACTGTTCACCTTCCTTGCTTCTTTAATTTTCTGAAATTGTGTGTTTATCTGTCTGCGAAGATCAGAATGAATTATTTTAATGGCTCTCAGTCTAAGCAAAAGCCTGAGGATATATGTCAGAGTAATTTTGCCTGAGGATTCAGGTTTTTGTTTTTGGGTTAGGTTTTTTTTTCTATTCTCACTTGCTTTTCAAAGGTTTGTTACTGAAGAGTATGTACTACAAGCCAAACCGGTCTAGGGTAAGCGGTTGCAGTATGTATATTTCAGTGTGTCTTCATGCAGGCGGTGTTCCCACATGCTAGTGAGAACCAGCTGTGTCCATACATTGATCTGATATAAATTTATCCCTTTCAATAATGTAGGCTGTTTGCAGTTTTAAAAATAAACAGCCTCTTTCTGGTTTTCCCCTAACTTTGGGAGTTCCCAGAACTGCAAAGCAGACTTGCCAGTTTTCGCCATGCAGCAGTTCTTTCACCCCGGACAGCTGAAAACTTAGTCAGTGAAGGTAAGAATCTGTACCTGCCTGAATGAGTCAGCCATCAGCAAAGGAAAAAAATAACAGTTACCCTACTGCATGAAGTTCTAGGCCTGGGGTTACATTTGCTTGGTCTCTTGCAATTGCAAATTAACTTTCAAACAGCTGAATTTGCAATCATCTGAAAATCTTACAGTTCTAATTGCTGTAATAATGTAGTCTTATACTGTGCCTTATATCTCCCTGTTTAGATTTTTGGATGTTTTGCTCTGACTGAACTCAGCCATGGAACGAATACCAAAGGCATACGGACTACTGCCATGTTTGATCGTAGCACTCAGGTTAGTTCCTAGTGCACAGGAATAATGTTTGACATTGTTAAGCTTTGTTATTTACTAACAAGACAGAATGATCTAGTTCAACTCCAATGTAAAAAAAAAAAAAAGAAAGAAAATCAAATATTTACATTATTATAAATGCTTACAATAAACCCAGCAATTTCTGTTCTCTTGTCCAAGTAGTTAATTTAGCTTCTGGTTGTGATATAAAATAATAACAGCATCTTTCTTTGTTCTGTCTCTGAAGGAGTAGTTGGATGTGCAGATTAAATTGTCTTTTGTCTTTGTGAAGGCTTTATATACAAAGATTGGAATTATTTCCTGTGGATGAGAAAAAGAAATACGAAAAAGAGATAAGACTATCGAAGAGACTCAAAGAAGAAAACATAAACTGCTTTTTCCATTAGGATAGTGCTTACTATTCATAATTTGTTTTCTGAAATCAGCGTTACTGCAGAAATAAATTCATTGTGCTAACATTTTTTCAGTAAATGAATAGAACTCATCTTGGTTTTACATTAAGGGAGAAGAAAACGGAAGTTAAGAGAGGAGGCTTATAGAACTTTCTTTCTCTCTTGATGTCATCTACAGGCCTGGTTTATGCCAAGTTGAATTTAATAATGTATTATTTAATGTCCCATGAAGGTAGGCTTATCTTCTCCCACAAAGACTGTGGCATTTTATTGCACTGCAATATACAGAACTGGGTGCTCTTACTGTGAACAAACAATATTACATCATGAAGTGCCTTCAAAAGAAAGACAAATGAGAATCATAGATTTGAAACATAAGATTTTATTTTCTTTAGTAGGACAACATTCCAGTCTGCATTTTTTCATATACTAGCAATTCAGTGATCATTTATACAACATGGATGATCAGAACCCTTTCCAGGAAAAAAAAAAAAAAAGGCAAATTTGTGTGATTGACAGCATGAAAAATTCCATTTACAATACATTGAGTTTTAGGCTAGTGATGAGTGCGCTGCAGTGAAAGTGACTGAAATGACTAAATCTTTGTTAAGATCATGAAGCTCTAAGTTCAGATTTCTTTTACATCCAGAAAGCACACTACTTGGAATTAAAAATCTGAATTCTGAAGCTATGTCTAAATTTCAGGATACATGTATTCTTCAGAATTCCCACTACTCATGGTCCCCCATTTATCCAAACTGGGAAGTGTGCTGCCTTTCGCACTGTCAACCAGGCTTCCTTGCCATACAAAGCTGCATAAAAAGAAGGTGGTCACTGAATAGTCCTTCCTGTGGGTTCACAACTCAGCTTCATTACAATGAAGTAATGAACTTTTTCAGCTCTAAATTTTTCCTAGCTATATGTATGTTTTCCAAAGTTCAACACAAAAAGAGATTTCAGCTGTTGGAGTGGAGTACAGAATGAAACCCTGACAGTTGATAATGTTTTGAAAACAACCACTATGGTAATGAAAAAAAAAAAAAAAAAGAAAATAGCCACGTTTTGATTTTTATGATTTACATCATTTGTTCCTTCTCTCCTGGCTACAGGAATTTATCATCAATACTCCTGACTTTGAAGCCGCAAAGTTCTGGGTTGGTAATATGGGGAAACACGCCACTCATGCAGTTGTGTACGCCCAGCTCTATACTCCTGATGGACAGTGCCAAGGATTACATTCCTTTATTGTACAGGTAGGGTAGAAATATGGCTAATCTTTTTTTTCTTTTTGGGGGGAATGGGTTCAAATTTAAGGCTTTCTTTTATGTTGTTATTTATATCTGACCAGCAGATTGTTTAATTAATGCATTCAACATTTATTGCAATTGTAACAACTGTACTGTTTTTAAGTGTTCACTGGTTTTGTGATGGTTGTACAGCCAGTCTTATACTATCAGTTTTCTGCAAAAAAAAAAAAAAATCTGAAAAACACGAAAGAAAGCCTCCTGATTATCAGACTACCCATATAGTTAGAACTAATCTACGCTATGTGAAGTTCTGAAAGTCTTGGATGAGGCCTAAGGTGACTTACGGCTGCCAATGCTGCAGGCTGATCTGCATGAAATCTGCAAGCTTCTACCTCAGAGATCAGTTTATGAGATTAAAGTCATTAGAAAATATAGCAATACAGTAGAGAAGTTGTACCTAGTAAAATGAGCTAGTTGCAGACTGAACAGAATTATTACAAAATCAGAGAATATCTCAAAGCTGATTTTTACATAAAAGTTCCATTGATTCCTACTACACCTGTGTATACCTGAAGAAGGTTTCAGTGTTGGTCCGTTGAGAGCAATTGTAAGCGCTAAGGCATGTTTAGCACAGTGATGTAATTAGTGTCATATTGCCACAGTAATTAGTGTCATATTGCCAAAGTAATTTGCATTAAGGAATCTATATCCTGAATGAGAGGATACATAAGTATGGGTTATATCCAGGATTATGTGCTTGAAAAAAAATAGAGAGCTTGCTTTAGTGTTAATAACAGAACACAAGTTGGGAATATTTTCACTGTTTGAAAAGTTCAACCAATAACGTTCATTGTTCCACAACTGAAATAATGTTTCGTTCCACTTCTGTGCAGATTCGAGATACAAAAACTCTCCTACCAATGCCAGGTGTGATGGTAGGTGACATAGGAAAGAAACTTGGGCAGAATGGGTTGGATAATGGGTAAGTCAATCCATTTGAAAGAGGGAACATTTCAGGTTACATCACACTTTAGTGGTGCAAATATCCTCCTGTGTCAGTTCTGTCTTTACTTCAGAGGTAGTCACTAGTGGTTTAAAGTTGTTGGTATTTCTGAAAAGAATCTAGTTTGAAACATCTTGAATTTGAGTATTTTCTATCTGAATAACCATAGTCTTCTCTCATTTTTTAGAATATGAAATGCCACTGATACTCTGTGAATATCCCCAAGCATTCTTGCAATCGTAGACTCTGCAACAGATGGAGAGTTTTATGGAAAAAAAATCCAAAATCCATTAATTTCTGAGTAAAGAACTTAATCAGCCTCTCCATGCATCTGGGTGTGAGCCCTTAGTTATTTTGTCTTGTCGATTTTCAGCCCGCAGGAAGGCTAATGGAGGTCCACAGACAAGGTTTATTGTTAGAAAAGACATAAGATTAATGAGACTCAGTAGAGAAACTAGGTATCTTATTTAAACCATGAGATTTCAGGACTAATCCTGTTGAGTGCAGAAGAGAAGGAAAAAGTTAGGTGTGGGTTTTTTTTTTTTTTTTTGTATTCTCTGTGTACCATTGAAATAAAAAAGTGTGAGGGCTCCATTTCTGAGTCATGGACATCAGTGGCCTTACTGTGTCTCTACTTTACTAACCAAAGGCGTCTGATGGGGAGGAGAAACTGAAGAAATGGAGGTAGATTTGTGCATTAAAACAGCCACTATGTAAAATTTGTGATTTAAACCCCTCTATTAATTATATAGCTCTTTGCAAAGACAGAGACCTAAAATAGTAAGGGGGATGGGGTCATTTCTTTCTGCCTCAAATTTACCTCTTTCTGCTGATCCAGTTCATTACACATCTATGTATTGTCCTTCCTAACAAGCCATTGCAATAAACACAGACATCCTAAGGTATCCTGCTTTCAGATGTAATGGCTTTGACTGGCTTTCCAGAAGGTCTGTACCAGCCGCATCCTGATGTTCCAGATCACAGAATTATAGAACGGTCTATATTATTAGGTCTATATAATTAGGAAGGGATCTTAAAGATCATCTAGTTCCAACCCCATCCGGGGGTGGGGCATCCACAACTTCTCTGGGCAACTTATTCCAGTGTCACATCACCCTCACAATAAAAAACTTCCTCCTAATATCTAATCTAAATCCATCCTCTTTCAGCTTAAAGCCACTACCCCTCATCCTGTCACTACACTCTCAAGTCAGGAGTCCCTCCCTATCTCTCCTGTAGCCCCCTTCAGGTACTGGAAGGCTGCTGTAAGGTCTCTCTGGAGCCTTGTCTAGGCTAAACAACCCCAACTCCCTCAGCCTGTCCTCATATGGGAGGCGCTCCAGCCCTCTGACAATCTTTGTGGCCCTCCTCTTGACTCATTCTAACAGGTCCATGTCCTTCCTGTGCTTGAGGACTCCAGAGCTGGGTGCAGTACTGCAGGTGGGGTCTCATGAGATTAGAGTCCCAATACCAGCCCCTGCAGAACGCCACTCATCACGGGTCTCCACTTGGGCACTGAGCCATTGACCGCAACTCTTTGGGTGCAACCATCCAGCCAAATCCTTATATAGCGAGCAGTCCTCCTGTCAAATCCACGTGTCCCCAGTTTAGAGACAAGGATGTCATGTGGGACAGTGTCAAAGGCTTTGCATGCAGATAGCCTGTAGTACAAAAATAGCACTGAATTTTGTAGTTATGTAGATCATTCTCGTTGATGCTCTTTTGCCTGAAGACGCATACAAAATAAAGATTAAAAAAACATAGAGAAAAATAAGTTTTATAGAGGAAAAATGTGAGGAAAGGCCTGGAAAAGAAGGGGGTCTTGGTTTTGGTGGATATTTTTGCCTGCATCTGCATTACAAGCTAGTAGCCACCAGATGGCACAGCAACATGGGCCTGAGGAATCTAAATGTAATTTAGCGTCGTTTCTCTGTAGAAATGTTCACATTCTGCTGTTCATTCTTAATTTGCAGCATAATTTTATGCACGACACAAGGAAGGAGAAGAGTGTGTTTGTCACGTAACATCAAAATGCGTATAATTTGAAAATCCATTTATCCTTTGATCTACTGTGAAAAAATAGAGCATTTCTTAAAATGCTGGTAATAACTGAATAATCTGAAATAATAATCCACCCAATACACTGTAAATAAGAGAGACCAATGACTTCCTATCTTAATGTCAGATGGAGTCCCTTATCTTCGTTATGACATCCCATGTCATTTAAAGCAATCATAGGGCATTCTAGTCTTTCTGTTTACTTTGCATATGCTGCTTTTAAAAAGCACTACTATTTTCTGCCAACAGCTGTGCCTGAGGAGCTCCAATCATGGATCTAGATCTCTTAAATATGGATTAAGACAGTTCCTGCACTAGAAAGCTTAAGACAGCACCTGCATGTTAAAATAGAGGGACTAAGGAGCCCAAGGTTACCAACAGATAACCTTAATTCAGCTGAAAACTCTAGGAGCTTGCTCCTTGATCTGCCTCAGCTGTTTTCTTTGAAGAGGTCTGAGGCTAGATACCACTATTGTTCATAAGAACTAGAGAACTAGTTTTCACTTTGCAAGTTTTCACTTTGCAACCTTCCTGCTCACAGTGGGCTGTCAAAAGTGTCAGGACTTGTACTTGCTTCTGAGAGGTACACAAACGCCTGGATGGGGGCCGGAGGGGTAGTAGCTTCATAGCTCTGCATTTGTTTGCAGAGAAGACAATCTGTGCCACTCTAGAAGATGGACTGTTGGTTGCGTGATCTGCAAAATGCCAAGATTCACAGGGAGACGTTTCATCTTGGGTCACCAGACACTGCCTTGTCAAGATGTTCTCCTAAGCAGTTTAGTAAGCTTCTATCCTAGCATATCCCAGAGAAAGCACAGCCTGCAGTTCTTGTGCACTATAGAAGCCTGTTGTATGTGGTGACAAGAAAACATTCCATTATGCTGTGACTACAACTGTTAGAGTTACACTCAGGATAAATGGTCAGAGTGAAGATCAGAGTCTGACATCTCTGGGAGACATGTCAGATTTTGTTCCTGCACTTCAAGAAATTTGTGCTAGTAATTTGCAGTATGTGTACAGAGAGTTAGGCTCCTGAACATTTATGTAGGACATGGGGAAAGAAATTCCAAAGCTTCCTTGGAAAATGCCATTGATTTATGCTATGTAAGAGAACGGAGTAGGTGATCGTAGTTGTCCCTTCTGGCTTTGGAAAACAATCTCTTGGGTCATTTGGCTGAAGGCTGGTTTCCTGCTAATGCAGAGTATGATGTTTTCAGTAAGAGAAAGAATTTCTCTTACTGAAGTAATGTGGGAATTTTTGCAGTGTAAATCCCATTTACTACCCTGCTCCTTCTAAGTCTGTCTTTCCAAATAATTCTCATAGCTTCATAATTGGAATGTCCAAAAATCACACGGGTTTTGCAAGTCTTTGTAACTTCAGCTACCCGGACCAA